GTGTATGAGCGTCTGTGTGTGTGTGTTGGGATACGTGTACGTGTTGGGATGGAGGTACTGTACACACCCCCCCCCCCTCCCCTCTCCTCACCAACACCCACCGGAAGTTCATTCAGGAAAATATTGAGTGTCCTTCTGGTGGCTGACTCGATAATTACTCCCCTTCATCCCGGCGTTTGAGTTTACAGCCCACCCAACTATTTTTTCCCCCTGACGGAGTAAAAATCTTCACCTCACTCCATGCATCAACGTCTGGGCGTCAGAGGGCAGTAAAGAGACCCTCCTCCTCCTTTTTTAACCTTAAGACTGATGATCTGTATCTTATAAGAGGGATATAAGCCTAAGGTGGTGGTGTGATATGGCGTATTATTGCCCCGAGGCGACCTATACCTTGGGTGGGAGTGACGCAGGTGGCGGTGGACTGCTCTGCACCGCCACATCGAGATCATAATCTGACAAATGATGGCCCCCGCTTCACCCCACTCGCCCACCTGCACCAGCGGGGTGTGGGTCGAGAACGGAGAGATAGTAAAATAGATGAGAAAAGAGAAGGCTAGAATTGAGAAGAGAAAGTAAGAGAAGACAGTAATGGGTAAGTGAAACGAAAATAAGAGATATAAAAGTAGCTTATTAAGGTCACTGACAACCCTAAAAAAATAGTTTCTAGTAACATATTAACCATTAAAGGAGGATAACAATATAAAGGGGAAAAAGAAGAGACAGGGAACTTATATCACTTATGACTCCTGCGTCTCATCCCACGTCGCTTAAACACTGGTAACCGCTTCCTCCATCCTGGCCTTCTCTAACACCAGACAGGCAGTTGAGTATCAGAGAAGCACTTCAAATTATTCTAAAAAAAAAAATCCAATAAAAATCCATCCAATGTAATCTTACCAACATACAAGACAAGTTAATAAATAATCGGATACTTCCTTTGGTGTTTTGTAGGACATTGGATCTTTTGTTGTAATTGAAGCGTTATCGTCGTTGCCAGGTTAAGTTGTTGTATACAATGTTGTCACTCTTGTCAATGTAGCTGTCGTTACCTATGTCATTGTTGTTATTTGTATCCTTATGGTTCTCGTTGTCGTTGTCACCAAGGAGGAAATTACCAGGAAATTGAGGAAAATAAGACGAAAAAACAGAAGAAAAAAACAGGCGTAGTAAAAAATAACACCCGGAAGTTGCCACATTGAGGGTTGCCACTGTACTGTATCCGCTGCTTCCTGTACTAAACTGCTGTAATGACTACTAATACCACTGCATGTAGACGCTGTAGAATAAGACCTCTATGATACAGTGACCATGCGTAATGTACTATAGCTGTATTTTATTCTTAGATCTGTACTTCCTATAGAGCTTCTGAAAACTTGTGAATTCAAAATCCGACTCCTCTTTAATTGGAAAAGCTTATTCATTGTTAAGCTGTGTCATAACGTACAATAAATAAAGCTGTATTGTTTTAAACTACGTGAAATGGTAAAGTACTGTATTGTCTTCAAGCAGCATGTTTAACTATGCCACCATAAAGCTTTGATAAAGTTAAGCTGTATGATAATTTGAACTACATAATAATATTCATTAAAATTATCTTACTTCTCAGTGTTATGGGACACCGTCAAGGGAGTAGGCGAGGCTGGCGGAGGACCTGTGTGCTAGGAAGACCTGTGTGCTAGGAGGACCTGTGTGCTAGGAGGACCTGTGTGCTAGGGGGACCTGTGTGCTAGGAGGACCTGTGTGCTAGGGGGACCTGTGTGCTAGGAGGACCTGTGTGCTAGGAGGATCTGTGTGCTAGGGGTACCTGTGTGCTAGGAGGACCTGTGTGCTAGGAGGACCTGTGTGCTAGGAGGACCTGTGTGCTAGGGACCTGTAGTGCTAGGGGACCTGTGTGCTAGAGGACCTGTGTGCTAGAGGACCTGTGTGCTAGGAGGACCTGTGTGCTAGAGGGACCTGTGTGCTAGAGGGACCTGTGTGCTAGGAGGGACCTGTGTGCTAGAGGGACCTGTGTGCTAGGAGGACCTGTGTGCTAGGAGGACCTGTGTGCTAGAAAGACCTGTGTGCTAGGGGACTTGTGTGCTAGGAGGACCTGTGTGCTAGAGGACCTGTGTGCTAGAGGACTTGTGTGCTAGGAGGACCTGTGTGTGCTAGAGGGACCTGTGTGCTAGGAGGGACCTGTGTGCTAGGAGGACCTGTGTGCTAGGAGGACCTGTGTGCTAGGAGGACCTGTGTGTGCTAGAGGGACCTGTGTGCTAGAGTGACCTGTGTGCTAGGAGTGACCTTGTGTGCTAGGAGGACCTGTGTGCTAGGAGGACCTGTGTGCTAGGAGGACCTGTGTGCTAGGAGACCTGTGTGCTAGGAGTGACCTGTGTGCTAGGAGGACCTGTGTGCTAGGAGGGACCTGTGTGCTAGAGGGACCTGTGTGCTAGAGGACCTGTGTGCTAGGAGGGACTCTGTGTGCTAGAGGGACTTGTGTGTGCTAGGAGACTCTGTGTGCTAGAGAGGACCTGTGTGCTAGAGTGACCTGTGCTAGGGAGGACCTAAAGTAGGAGGACTGTGTGCTAGGAGGGACCTGTGTGCTAGAGGACTTGTGTGCTAGAGTGACTCTGTGTGCTAGGAGGAATGTGTGCTAGGAGGGACCTGTGTGCTAGGAGGACCTGTGTGCTAGAGGGACCTGTGTGCTAGGAGGACCTGTGTGCTAGGAGGACCTGTGTGCTAGGGGTAACGCGCGGTACACGACACCTCCGCTATAACTTGGGTCGCGTCCCACCGTCGAAGCTGATTTATGTGGGTGAGGCGACAGACAGAGGGCGTCGAGGGAGAGGAGTGTAGGGGCGACACCTGGAGCAGTACACAGAGGGTGTTGAGGGAGGAGAGGAGGTAGTAAATGACACCTGGACGGTAAAGAAGAGGGAAGGGAAGGGAAGGGCTTCACACACACACACACACACACACACACACACACACACACACACACACACTCACACTCACACATGGGTCATAATTCTCAACAAAACTCCCACATTAATTCTGAGTGTCGTAAGATAACCGACACAAACGTAGGTGAAATTTTACACTTTATAGATCCAGCGATAAACTATATTTTGTCGTATCTCCAGTTTGAGGGAAAAGTTTGCTTAAGATCACTGAGATTCCCCGGGTACTCACCTGTATAATCAACGAGTATACCTGTCTTAAATAATTAGAGGGTGAGGGGTGTAGGGTGGGGGGCTGGAAGGGAGGGGGTGCGTAGTCTCTCAGTGCATTATATGAAGTGTGAGGGTCGCTACTACCTCCTGCAAGCTCACGGGGAAGGAGGCGCTGAAGTAGGCGTGTGTGTCGAGTGTATGGTTGCAGCCGTGCTTAAATTAACACGTGGTTGCAGTAGCCATCAGTAAATTAACACGCGGTTGCAGTAGCCATCATTAAATTAACACGTGGTTGCAGTAGCCATCCGTAAATTAACACGTAGTTGCAGTAGCCATCCGTAAATTAACACGTGGTTGCAGTAGCCATACGTAAATTAACACGTGGTTGCAGGAGTCGTATCGGAAACAAAACATAAATTTAAAAAAAAAATGTCAGTTCTTCTTCCTTCTCGAATTCTATTTCCTATTACCTCTCCTTCCCTCTTTCTCTCCAATTCTCACGATGACACTTCACCTTTTTTACGCCTACTTCCTGGAATATCGAATTACCCTCCTTCCTCCTCTCTCCTAATGGGGTCGCTAGTGTCAAGATTGTCACGTAATGGAAAACGTCTTGAAATGAGCGCGACACATTAATTTTACGTCACTAGGGAAGATGACGCAGGAGGAGGGGGCGCAGGGGTCCAATATTTCGCGGTGTTTGGTGAAAAATATTAGTTTGTTTATTGATGTGTGTGTTTTTTTTCTTGATTTACTTTTTTCCTTCTGTTTTTCTTTTTTCCCTTGTGTTATCTCTCTTGTTTCTTTCTTTCTTTACTGGTTCTTCTTCTTCTTCTTCTTTTATTATTATTATTATTATTATTATTATTATTATTAAACAACGACCTTATTTATATCACAGTACATATAAGGATATATGTAATCACCTTACCCCTGCAACACCTGAAATGTTACCTGTCAAAATTAATTAATAACCTGATCAACTTGGATTCAGGTACACCATAAAATGCCACCTGACCTGAAGTAGCGAATCATGGAAGTCGATTTTTTTTTTGTTGGGGGTGTGGGTGGGGGTAGGGGGGGGTAGGGGGGTGGGTGGGGTGAGTCAGATCTGAGTTTTATAATTAATGGAATAGAAAATTGGAGGTGGGTGGAGAGCAGGTCAGTTTGTCTGTTAAGTCGATGTTCAGGTGTTTCAAGGTAGAGAGAGAGAATTATATAAGACAATCTGGTGTTATATAATCTGCCGGTTTAATAGAGATAGATATATGAGAGTATGGATTAAAGGAAAGCGTAGTGTGACCTTGCCTCTTGAACACGGCAAACGACACTGAATGGCTTGTCCTGATGTAGATACGAGGAGGAGAAGGAGAGGAGGAGGAGAAGGGAGAGCTGAGGAGAAAAGGAGAGCTGAGGAGGAGAAGGGAGGCTGAGGGAGGAGAAGGGAGAGCTGAGGGAGGAGAAAGGAGGAGGAGGAGGAGAGGAGAGGAGGAGGAGAGGAGGCTGAGGAGAAGGGAGGGAGGGGCTGAGGAGAAGGGAGGAGGGGCTGAGGAGAAGGGAGGGAGGAGGGAGGGAGGGGGTTTTGATGAGAAGGCAGGAGGGAGGGTTGAGAGGCCCCGTTTATCAGATGTCAGCACGATGTTAGAGCGACAACACCAAGCTCTTCTGTGTTACGTTGTTGACTAGAGGAAATATTAATCTTTTATAAGCAAACTCGAATTTTCTGTTAATGAATGATAGAATTCTTAATGGCGGCTGTTTGTTTAGATATAAGAATAAACATATCTTATCTTTTTACTTCATTCATCTCTCTCTCTCTCTCTCTCTCTCTCTCTCTCTCTCTCTCTCAAGGACTTCCATTATTCCCGGAAGCTGGCAGACTAACGACACACCCACTCAAGTCAATTAAAAAGGTCCATTAAACTCTACAGTATCTTCACTAAACTCTCTATACCAGGGAGGGAAAATTGGATCACTATTACCAAACCACAACGACAACCACAGGAACTGATTACTACTTTATAAAAGGAAAAAATTATGTAAATATCTATGTAAATAAATATGGATAGATATTATAATTGTTATTATTATTTTATTATTTTTATTGTTATTATTATTATTATTATTATTACTATTATTATTATTATTATTATTATTATTATTATTATTATTATTTTATTATTATTATTTTTATTATTATTATTATTATTATTATTATTATTTCTATTTAATCACTATTATTACAGATACATCATCATTTTATTTATTATAATTTACACTCTCAAAGGAATAACACTAAACAAAAAGTCAAACAATTTCTTTTATGTACTGTAGATCGACGTCTTAGAGGTTACTGTTGTTTTAAAAGATGTTGATAAATGAAGAGAATCATTAGTCGTAGATGGGGAGCAATAATGACCATGTCTACTGTATTATTATTACTACTATGAACTCCTACTACTGTTATAGTAATAGTAGTAGTAATAGTAGTAGTAGTAGTAATAATAATACTTAGTGAATTATATTGTCATTGTTACGGCAGGATGTAGGAGGCGAAAGAAAGAGAGGAAGATAAGGAGAATGAGACTGAGAGATAAATGAAGTGAGACATATGGTTAGATAAAGACGAAGAGAAGGAGAGAGAAAGAGAGAATCTGAGACACAGGACCAGAAAGAGAAACAAGAACCCTGAAATAAGAGAGAGAGAGAGAGAGAGAGAGAGAGAGAGAGAGAGAGAGAGGAACTAAATTTAATAGATAACTCAGAAATACAAACAAAGACAGAGAGAAAAAGAGATAAATAGAGAGGGAAGAGAGAAAGAGAGCGAGAGAGTAAAATAGAAATACAAAGAGGGAGAAAGAGAGAGAATAAAATAAAGAGAGAGAGAGATAAATAAAGAGAAAGAGAGATAAATAAAGAGAGAGGGAGAGAGAGAGAAAGATAGAAATAAAGAAAGAAGAGAGAATAAAATATAAATAGAGATAAATAGAGAGAGAGAGAGAGAGAGAGAGAGAGAGAGAGAGAGAGAGAGAGAGAGAGAGAGAGAGAGTGATAAATACGTAGGAAGCATAATGTGTTGTCTAATGGTAGACCCTGCTGCCATATGGCATCACGAAAATCGTGACCAAGTCCCAGGTTGCTGATCTGACTTTCTGCCTCATTTACACACAATTACAGGGCCTCAATTGTTTCGCTTACTTTGAGAATACAACATACGTATATTGTTTCTCACTATTGATCTATTTAAAAATTTTGTATTTCTCTATGGTTCTTTATTATTAGTAGTAGTATTATTATCAGTGTTGTTATTATTATTATTATTATTATTATTATTATTTTAGTTTTAATTTTGCATTATAAATTTTATTTACTATGAACTAATTATTATTATTATTGTTATTATTATTACATTTTCGCCCCACAGCCCCCGACGTGGGTCAGTGACCTGTGCCTGGGTGGGCTAATCCCCGTAAAAAAAAAATAGGTACAGCCATAGGTCCTTACACCTCACCAAATATAATTGTACTAAAACATATTTTATAGCACTAAACCTATGTAAGAAATAATGTCTTTTAAACTCCATTCTTTTCCTCTATTATTATTATTTTTGTTATTATTATTGTTTTTGTTATTATTATAAATTATTATTATTATTATTATTATTATTATTATTATTATTATTATTATTATTATTATTATTATTGTTGTTGTTGTTGTTGTTGTCGTCCTCTTTTGGTCATAAAAAATATATAAATTGATTTTCCATGCCCGGGTGCCCCGACAAGACTCAAGTATAGGCCTATCCCAAGACCAGGTCGATGAGACAGGTAACATGCATAGATAGGCCTTCAAAACACCTGTATATGATAGGAGAGGAGAGTGTAGAGTGCGTTAGTTTAGTGCCAGTGCCAACTCAGATAAAAATACTGTACACGCATAATAACTATAGACCACAGCATCAATAATCACCTATTCTAACTTAGTAACTCTACCTCCTTATAAAATTCTTCATTATCCAAATTATTAACTTTTTTCCGTTCTTTATTCTTCTTTCACTACTTCTTTCTCTATTGAAATAAAAAAGAAATCAAGGACCGTGAGGGAATATTTTTTGGTGGTGTCAAAGAGGCGTCGGGGCGCTGTATATACGACTCATGGTTCAACGTCGCGCTGGTCACTTGCTGTTTCACCACTAACATCCGCATTTACACCACAGAGATTACAGTGTATAACGACGCATTCCTCTTTTAGACCTGTGTTCCTTTTTGTCACGTACTTGCCACCATGAACATTATACTGGCCACCACAAGCATTATACTGGCCACCACAAGCACTATCAACAACGGACCTGAACAAAATCCTAGTTTTATAGGTTTAGCGACTTATTGGCTAGGATTCAGTTCGCGTTATCATACAAGGAGAAGAATTACATACACAATACAGTTTGTTTCTATAGTGTATGTGTGTGTGTGTTTGTGTGTGTGTGTGTTTGTGTGTGTTTGTTTCTTACCCTCCCCCTGGTGCGGGTGTGTGGCTGGCGGTGGCGGTTGGCCGGGCGCGTACAGAGTTTACCGTTTCGACCGCCGCCGCAGCTTATTCCTCCTCACTATCAAATTAAAATAGATAAATAAATAAAGAAATAAAGAAATAAAAGCGAGGTGCTCAGGGAAGCTTCTTTTGAGAGATTCTCAAAGTTTGTAAATTTATGAAATGTCTATTGCGTTCTCTGAATTCCGGGTAGGCACAGTGGTAGCCGCTGGTGGAGGGAGCTGTTAACACCGTACTGATACAGGTAGAAGATATCCCCGACGTGTTATCTTGACCCCTAGGTCTGTGGTCCGCCATGACAGGAGTTGATAATTAAAAAAAAAATGAATCATGAATATCAATGCAATTTAATCTCTCAAGTATGCAATCACATCATTAAAAGCTGAACAAAAGGCACAGGTAAAAAACACAGCAGTCTTTTCCGTTGCGTGTCTAGGTGATTAGCGTATTTTCGGACTCTTACACACACACACACACACACACACACACATGGTAAGGAACCTCACACAGTTGTTAGGATGTTAAACTACTGGTATACCTCCCAGCGCCCGGCCACCAAAACGCCAGTCAATCTTCGTGCCCACAACTTGCTAATTTTCGCCGAGACAAAGTTCTGACGTGGCGCCATAAATCTGTCTTGTCTTGAGGGCAGATTTCCTCGCCATATATTTGAGGGGTTTCACAATGTTTCGTCCACAACATGAAAGTCGAAATATCTCCCTCATACACGAAGCAATCTACCGCCGTTTCTTCTTCATCATTGTAACTAGTGGACATCCTGCTACAAAAACCTCACTTGTTCAAAACCGTAGAGACAACAGCCAGCAATATATACTCGAGCGGTGCCTTGCTACACCCCTCAAGTAAATCTCAACAGAAGACCTCCATCTCCCCTTAGTGTGACGTCACCAGTCTAGCCCCGCCCCTATTGCCGTCGAAAGCCAATCACAAGGTCCAAGCGAGATGAGAAGCCAACACAAAGTGGGTACAGTCTAAAGTGATGCCGCCATCAAAGGCACCCGTTAATTTTACTATTCCTTTAAGTACATTCTCGTTTTAATCATATTACACATATCTTTGTAAGTATAAGTAGCACATTATCCAGCAGAGAGAAGATGTGCTTAGAAGAACCAACAGGTGTCTATTTACAATTACAAGCGCCTTGAGGGCGGAGTTACGAACTTTTTATAGCCGAACACACAACGATAAAATAATGTATATAAGGCAATTTGTCATTTTTCGGTATTTTGGCTTCAAATAAATCACCTGAATGTGTTTACCTAAATTAATGGTTAATGTTAACAAGAAATATGTGGACGTGTGTTGCTTGAGGAGTTACGGTAAACAGGCTATGAAGTTCTCTAACAAGCACTAAAAACTATTCTCCACCCTAAAACCATCTCTAGGCTGAACCGGAGCGTATAAAACATCATCATGGTATTCATCTACTTAATGTTTACATAAGAGCCAATGATCTCTCTCTCAAACTGTCTGTTTATCTATATATATTGTTACGAACCCCTTCCGCCGCTACCCAGCTTCCACCACTGGTTACCATTGACTAGGGTCGTATGTACAGAAGCAGTAGATATCTCACAAGTGTTGTCAAATTACCATTGGCTGTCCCGCCAGTCTCCGGCAATTTCCCGTCGATCGGTATCAGTGTACAGACCAACAACAGACAGGTATATTTCCCCCAGGCCGCAGAAACACACTTGTGTACTGTAGTCTTCTTTAATAAACACTAAACCTTCACAACACAGTTCACAGAGTCCGTCTTCACATCTGGGTTTCACACTTCGTACACATACAGTTAGCACACTACAAATGCACAATTCCTTACTTAGCCTTTTTACTTCATATTGCTCACAACAATTCCACAATATTTTCACAACTATTATCTTTGTCACAAGGCTTGTACTTCACACTCTGCAGAAACGATCGACTGACCCTCTCATGATGACGATGATGATGGAGAGAAGAGAGCCGTTTGCTCAGGGAGGTGGAAGACGGTGTAGGAGGAAGGTAAAAGTTAGGAGGTGGGAAATAAAGAGGGAGATTTGATAGCAGGTGGGCTATCCACCTTGCAGGGTTTAGGCAGCTCGCTTCCGCTCATATACCTCATCAGACGCCCCTAGAACATCCTAGCACCATCCAGGCGCTGAAAGTCGGAAAGAGACACGCCTGGGAACTTCTAGAACGTTCTACTATGTTCGAAACTTACAATAATTAAGTAAATCATAACAGAAATAATGCCACTATTTATGAGTGTGATGAGAAAGGACGGCATTTATGTATATAAACGTGAATCAACGTCCGTTCGATATTAGTTGGTGTGAGTGACTTGAGTAGTGACCCATCGAGGGAGAACGGCATAGGTATGTCGTTCTTCTCGAGGGAAGACGGAGCCATCCACTGCCTCTCTCAAATAACGTCTTCCTCTAGTCAAGGATATCAAACTACTGCTCGCTTCAGGTGGCCAGAGAGCCGGCTACT